GAAAAACTATGAGATTATGAGCCATAAACCAGAGTGACACTGTGACCTGCAGAATCTTTTGTCTGAGTGTGCTCCTGTGAGAGGCAAAAGGAGAGTTCTTTTCCCCGCCAGGCGGTGCCCTGCAGGCCCTGCCAGGGGTATCATCCTGCCAGAGAGCCGGTCAGGAGCCCTGGCAATGTTAAGGGTGTGGGGGAGGAGGGAGTCAGATGTTTAGTTTTTTGTTTGTTTGTTTTTGCTAAAGCAGCCCATTGCTACCACAGCCGTGGAGAAATAGGCAATCTCATTCATGGCTGATGGGAGGGAATACCAGCTGGTAGGATCCACAACTGGGTGATTTGCCTATTTTTATAAATTACAATAGCATCTGTACATTGACCCAGTAATCTCACTTCTGGGAATGTGCCCTGCAGATATGAATGCAAAAGTGAAAAATGACAATGGTATACGCTTACTACCTGCAGCGTTAATTGTAATAACAAGAGATTGGAAACAGCATAAATGTCCACCAGCAGGTGATGTGTTAAATAAACTATGATTCATCTACAGCAGAATAGTATGAGGCTGCAAAGAGAGACTGAGGACATTTTCTATGTCTTGAGATAGGAAGATCTTCAAGCTACAACAGAGCTGTAATTATATTTTTGTGCAAGTAAAGGGAAATAAAATATGTCCACTTCTTGTACAGACCCAAAGTAAGTGAAAGCAGAAATCCAAATGGATATTTGTATACCCGAGTTCATAGCAGCATTATTTACAAGCCGAAAGATGGAACGAGCTCGCATGTCTATTGAAAGATGAGTGGGTAAACAAAATGTATTCTATACATACAATGGATTATTTTTCAGCCTTAAAAGAAAGGAAATTTTGACACGTGCTACAACAGGAATGAACCTTGAAGACATTATGCTAAGTGAAGTAATCCAGTCACAAATGGACAGATATTGTATGATTTTTCTTAGATGAGATACCTAGAGTAGTCGAACTCATAGGAACAAAAAGTAGAATACCAGGAGCTGGGGGAAGGAGAGACTGGGACATAATTGTTTACTGGGTCCAGAGATTCAGTTGGGGAAGATGGCAAAGTTCTGGAGATGGATTGTGGTGATGGTTACACAACAACAGCAACATGGATGTGTGTAAAGCTGCAGAACTGTACACTTAAAAATGGTTAAAATGGCAAATTTTGTTATGCATATTTTACACAATTTTTTAAGAACTCACTTTGTCCACGTAAACAGGCTAGAAATAATGAACAAGGGTGTAGCCATAAAAAGCCTAAACAAATATCGCACACAGGAAATGTCCATTACAGGATTTCTTCGGGTTTTCCAAGCTGTCAGGCAATGTATGAAAACAAAAATTACCTGTTCGCCCAACGTGGGGCTCGAACCCACGACCCTGAGATTAAGAGTCTCATGCTCTACCGACTGAGCTAGCCGGGCGCGGTGGTAGCACCTAGCCATATCTTCAGTCAATAATTATTACCTCGCTGTGGGATTAGGCCTGCATCTAGCTGGAGGGGAGCTCGGAAACAAACTCGGAGGATTGTGCCTGACCGTCCCTCCTACTGCCGTCAGTTTCCTGCTTGTCCTTTGCCCTTTTCCACCCCCGTGAAGCTCACGGTGCGAAGGGAATACGCGCGCAGGACGATGCCGGTGGCCGCATCACCCTGTAATGTTTTAATCTGGAGTCAAAAGGCAACGTCAGGGGATGGGAGAGGCGAGGGCCGCAGCCGACACCTCCAACGTGGGCAACCATAGAATACACAGGGGATATAGTATAGAATTGTACACCTGAAACTATATAATTTTATTAACCAGTGTCACCCCAATCCTTTTTTTTAAAAAAAAAAAGGAAACACCAGTGTCTGAGATTTTCCCTGGGGCTGGGAACACATTGCGTTTTTGAATTTGGGAGACAAATTAAAAAAAGCGCAAGCCCACGCTGGAGATGCCGGGGATCGAACCCGGGGCCTCATACATGCAAAGCATGCGCTCTACCACTGAGCTACATCCCCCACTTGCTGAAAGCCCCTTTCCTATCCTCCCTTAGCAGTGTCTTCGTGCAGGGGATGTGCACATTGATGGCCCCCAGGGAGCACGACACCCCAGAAGTTGCAAACCCCAGCGTGCTGGCAGCGTCCCGAGGGTTTCCAGGGCTCTCTACTCAATGCCCACGGGGGCGCGGGCCTGGACGGAAGGACGCCCCGGGGAGGGCAGGGCTGGGATAAACACCCGGAGGCAGCGGTGGAAAAAGAAGGGGAGGTCTTTTGATGTGAAGCGAAAAAGAAAAGAAGACTGTGCAGGATGCTGTGTTTATTTATTTTTTTTTAAAAGGAGTGTAGTAAATATAATATTTGTATAAAATAATTCAGAATTGCCTGGGATGGGGAGGGAACTGGGGTCTAGGCGATTGACAGACTTTTCACTGTAAACCGCTGTTTTTGAATCACGTCCAAATCAATTCAACCCAAGAAAAGTTTAGGGAGCGCCTACTAGGTACCAAGAATTGCTCTAGAAAGCCGGTGGTCCAATGGTCCAAGATCACACAGTCCATCGCTCTAACAGCTCGCATTCCAGAGGAAGCGGAGTGCTGGATTGAAAATAAAATGGTAAGGTGTGATTGTAGACAGGCTTCATTGAGAAAGGTAACTTCTTCTTCTTCAATCTTTTTTTTTTTTGGTTTGAGAAAAGGTAACTTTTGAAACAAGACTCGAAAGGAGGTGGCAAGAAGAGCCAGGCACGTGTCTGGGAGAAGAGAGGTCCCAGTCCAGAGCCAGTTCAAAGGCCGTGAGGTAGGGCCTTTTGCCGTGTTGCAGGAACAGCAAGGAGGTGCCTGCGGTTGGAGGGGAGTCCATAGGACAGTGGTGAGAGGTGAGGGTACAGAGGAGGCCCAGTGCAAGGAGGAGGAGAAAGACTGGGGTGGGGTGACAGGTGGGAGCCACTGGAGGGTTTGAGCAGAGAAGGGCCATGATTTGATTTAAAAGCACCATTTCCACAAGATTGTTCTCACAGCTGGGTGAAGCGAGGGCGGCAGAGTGGGACAGAAGGGGAGAGATTTGTTGCTCATTGGAGATGATGCAATGGAGGGAGAGACGGAGGACTCGGGGTGAGGTGTGCACCATTTTCCCCTCTTGGAGTCACAGAGGGCTCCCTGGTTTTGTCCTGAGCCCCTGGAGGGTTGGAGCTCCTGGTAAATGGGGTGGGGAAGGCTGTGGGGGAAGCACGTGGTGGTGCAGATCAGAAGTCCAGGGTGGAGAGGCGACGCTGGAGCTGAAGGTGGAAGCCAGGGCTCCTGGGCGTCCTGTGTTAGGCTTTTAGGGCTAAGCCTGTGTGCTCTGGTGTCACAGGGATAGGGGCACCTAGTAAAGTGTCAGAGATCAGAAGGGAGTGAGTACAGACAGGGAACCCAGGACTGAGCGGGGCAGGGAGAAGAGATGGAGGCAGCAGGCCACAGAGCCATAGAGCCACAGAGCCACAGAGCCATAGAGCCACAGAGCCATAGAGCCATAGAGCCACAGAGCCGTAGAGCCACAGAGCCACAGAGCCATAGAGCCACAGAGCGGGGACACGTCTGGAAGGGCCGGGGAAGGGTGGCAGGAAGGAGGAAGCATGAGACCAGAGGGCAGGTGAGGTGAGGCCCGAGAAGGGGTCTTTGCCTTTGGGTTAGGATCGCTGAGGTCACTGGTGCCTTTAACCAGAGCGATTTCTGGGGAGGCTGAGGGCGCAAGCTGGTCCCCGGTGGTCCCCGGGGGGCCTGAGACAGGGCTGCAGATAATGCCAGCAGCTCTGCAGGGGGCTGAGGAGATAACGCGGGGCGCATAACATCGAGTAAACTGGGAGAATTTACTGTCAATGTGTTATTGTTTATAAACATAATTAACTGACGCAGAAACAAGGGGGAGGGGACGCTGGCAGGAAAGGTGGCTACACAGGGGGATGCAAGGCCGCGCTTGGGGGTGCGGACTGAGCTGGGTTCCAGCTCTAAGTTGCTCCGGCATGGCCGTCCCCGCTGCTGGCGGTACTCTGACCTGGCGGAGGCACATGGGACTCTGACACCCATTGATGCGGCGGTTTTTCCGCAAGGGGACCCGAAGGCCAGCAGACTACTTTCTTGCACCCTTAAAGG